ACCCATCATGATTATCACCATGATATGGTTAATGGATTTTTTTCACAAGCCAGGACAGCCAACAGAAAGAGTGAAGACAACTATATTATTGGTTTCGACTTTATTCATGAAGTCTGTCCAAGTACATCAAATGCTGATGCCTTGGAAGTTTAATGACATGTAGCCAGTAACGTCTTTTGAAAAATAGAGGAATTTTCAGACACAAGCTTACTCCCTTGCTTCAATGCATCAGCTACATACAAGATGAGCAATGCATATTTAGGAATCGTATTTTATGAGTTTAAGAAAAGAAGGGGAAAAAAGGCGTTTTTCTTGCTTTTACTTTCCTTCCACTCCTCCATCAGCTTAACAGATCTTCCACTTCACTTCCAATCACCTAAATGCAAAGGTAAGCTACCCAGGAAGTCTATATTGGATGAGAATTATATAGCATGCTTTGATTTTGATTTTAATTATACTAAATCCTGCGCTCCACAGGGAAAGAAACTTAATTCTAAAGGTGTCTCCATCAGCATTCTATCCATTAGTAGAATGGTTCTGAATTATTTTATGACATCTAATTTTTCAAAGCAACCCCTAATTTGGGGAGCGTAATGGAAGGGAGGCATTACAAAGGCACTTTGCCACATTTATTTCTTCAGAAATAAATAAAAGTTGCCTTTCTCTTCGTACCTGAGCTTAGAGGCTATCCACTTCCTGCTCGAAAAGGAGACCCAGCGTAGCAATTTGGCCTACTTCAGAAAATTTAGCCTGAGTAAAATTACATAGATAACAGTCTTAACAAGCAGCATGGTCACCACAAGATGCTTTTAGCAATTAGTGATTGTCATCAGAAAGGCATATTTAAAGTATAATATCTAGTGTCATCTCCCCATCAGCTTTCTCTTTTTGTTAAAATTTGAATTTTGTTTCATTTCCCAATATAGAAGTTATATCCTTCAAAACCACTTTTTTCAATGGCTGAATTCTTTCCTCAAAAGCAATTTTTGAGTCTGTACACAAACACGCAGGTAGCCCTCAATTTACAGCCATTTATTTAGTGCCTGTTCAAAGTCACAGGGCACTGAAAACAGGGACTTATGACTGTTTTTCATATTGATGACCACTGCAACATCTCCATGGTCACATGACCAAAATTCAGATTCAGACATTTGCCAACAGACTCATATTTACGATGGTTGCGATGTCCTGGGGTGACGTAATCATCTTTTGCGACCTTCTGAGAAGCAAAGTCAATGGGAAAGTCAGATTTATGTAACAACCGTGTTACCAACAAATGCAGTAATTCACTTAACAATTGTGGCAAGAAAGATTAGAAAATGGGGCAATAGTTAACAACTGTCTTGCTTAGCAACAAAAGTTTGGACTCAATTGTGATTTTAAGTCGAAGATTGCCTGTATATTCACATACTCCCCCACATAATAGCAATAGCACTTAGACTTATATATCGCTTCATAGTCCTAAGAGGTTTATATTCAGCATATTGGCCCCAACAATCTGTGTCCTCATTTTACCCACCTCGGAAGGATGGAAGGCTGAGTCAACCTGGAGCCTGGTGAGATTTGATCTGTCAAATTGCAGTCAGCTGGCAGTCAGCAGAAGTATCCTGCAGTACTGCACTCTAACCACTGCACCACCGCGGCTCAAAATTGCCCATTGGATAGCTTCTTGGGGGGAAGGGAAATGACAATTCATAGACTTACTATTTATATAGAATGGGACATTGTAATTATAATACTTCTCACACGTTGGCCCCAAATTGCCACATCTTACATTTTGCTTCAATTTTTCAGAAGATGCAATTGAAAATGTTCAACAGCATATTCTGGGAAATTCTTTTCTCTGTCTAACGTTCTATTTTGAGAAATTGGAAAACACTCGCCTTTACTGGCAAGATAATCCTCTTGGTCTCTACAAAAAGATAGTTTTATAAGGGCTGGGAAAAACATTCTTGACTCAAACCGTACGAAAGCAAGTGAATGACAGGCATGCTTTACCGCAGTCAAGAGCAGTTTTATGGACAAGCTGTAAATGTCAGACTACACCTTTTTTAATAATGAAAAAGACACTGTAATACTGTTTCCTTGTAACCAAGACAGAAAATCATTTGGTAAAAGTAAAAAAAACATTTATTGGGTTTGACATTAAAAAGAAAAAGAAAGGAAAAATTATCATGAAGCAGAGATACCACTGCACTCCAAATGCAAAGTCTAAAAGGTTAGGTTAAGAAACTTTAGGTTCAAAAGCAGATGTGGCAGGTACATAATTTAAGAGCTTGTGAAAGAGAAACTTCTGTAGCATATTTTTTCACGCTTCATCTCTCCTGTTAAACATAAAAGGGGGCCCACGGTGGAAAAAGGGAAGCTGAAAGCATCAATCATTGTTGTGCCCATGTGAATGCTTCTGTTGTTGCCCCAGATTATACTACATAAGCAGGAGTAAATCACCAACCCCTTAAAATCTTCGTGCGCAACCCTCTGTGTATTAAAGAAGTATTAAAACTTCTTCATCCATTCCAAAGAGCTTGACCTTCTGGCAACTTATTTGTGCTAGAATTCCAAATTTGATTACATGCTATTTTTTTCCAAATATTGTATACGATATAAATATATGTCAAACAAAAATATACACAAGCAAATGAGAACTACGCAACGGCACCCAGGTGTAGCATGTACAGATAGTTCTCGACTTAGGACCACAATGGAGCCCCAAATTTCTGTTGCTAAGACAGTTTGTTAAGTGAGCTTTTTACCCCCTTCTTTCTTGCCACGGTTAAATTAATCATTGCAGCTGTTGTTAGTAACGTGGTAGTTAGATTAATCTGGATTCCCCTTTGATCTTGTCAGAAGGTTGCAAAACTGATCACGTGGCCCCAGACTACTGCAACGGACATAAAGGTGAGTCAGTTGCCAAGCGTCTTTATTCTGATCATGAGACCATCGGGATGCCGCAGCAGTCATGAGGATGAAAAATAGTCGTAAGTCACTATGTTCAGGGCCGTTGTAATTTTGAACAGTCACGATGCCAGCAGAAGAAATGCTGAGACGAAAACAACTTTTAAGGATAACTTTGTAACGAAAGCTTTAACTGCATCTTATCGTCAGTAAAATCAGCAGCACAGTCAGATGGGAAGTGATCCCACTTCATCTCACTGAGAGTTGATCAGTTCAATCCTAAAATGTCCAGTGGGCTATTTTTTTCCATTCAGTGTGCAGTTGAAGCCAGTAAATGAGTACGCCGTGATGATCATGCCATACTTGAATGTTCCACTTCGACAGCATTGAAATTTACTGAACACTTTGCCAGATGAAGGGACACAAACACTTTACCCTCAAAATGTAGGTTGAGAGCTATAAATAGAAGAAAGGCCTCACCATATGAATTAACTCGAAAGGGCTAAAACAGCCTTAGAGCCTTATTGCTATGTTGACTCTCTCAGTCTGAAACTTCTCATCTGTTATGGTCTTGGTTATCTAAGGATGACACAGGGACATGATCGGCTTTTAATCTATTTATAAAGCTACCAAAATAAAATTTGATGTGCAAAAATGTATTTATATCATTAACCTAAGTCAGGTTTAGGTTTAGCAATGCCTTTTTGGCAATGTCATAAAGAACACATGGAAAGTTTCTGCTGGATGCTTTTAACACAACCAGAGCTTCCAAAATTGTAGTTGTAGATAAAAGACTATAATTCTGTGGTTTTTGCTGAACTGGAAATATACCTCTCCCTGATAAGTGTATATGTAAACGGCTTTACAAATTGTAGTGAATAATTTTGGATTAAAATTGCCCATAAAATTATTTTGCTTAAAAAAGTAAATTTGAGCCAATCCAGACATATCAACCATTGTCCCACATACAGATTCTCTCTTTCATATTGCTCCCTTTCATCAGAATCAGTAAATGAATGGATGGATGGATAAAAAATAAATACATAAGGGGGAGCCCCGAGACCAGTATAGCGATAGGTAGCTAAAAGCTAGCTTGAATTGAGAAAGGAAGAGAGAAAAATGGACACATGGGTGCACACATCGAATCATGGTGAAGTGGTTAGAATGCAGTATTGCAGGCTGATTCTGCTCACTTCCAGGAGTTCGATCCTGACCAGCTCAGCCTTCCATCCTTCCGAGGTTGTTAAAATGAGGACCCAGGTTGTTGGGGGCAATATGATGATTCCGTAAACCGCTTAAAGAGCACCAGGAAGCAGTACATAAGTCTAGGTTGCTATTGCTCTCTAAGACTAAATATCTTTTCTTGGGATTATGTTACAGCATGGAGGGCAATCATGTGATTCCGGGTAAAAGCTGCAGCTACTTTAAGGAGTTTCTGGCAGCTGCCGTGTGAGTGTCCAACACTCTTAGAAGCCTTTTGTTGTCTTTGAAATCTGATGCAACATACAACTATTAAATATGAATAATCTTCAAATACTTTCATGCTCTTCAGCACTCATATTTATAAATGTTTATACTTCACATCCATTTGTTTTCGGGTTTTTTTAACAGCAACATTTGTTCTTTTCAGCTGATGTAAGTTAATTGCATATACCTACCCCATTCATGCCTGGGAAGGAATCTTGTGTTTTTATAGGCTGAATAAAGAACTAAGAGTTTTGGGGGGTCCTTGATGCACTCTGAGCTTTTTTGTTTTCCTGCAAGCACCAAGGACCCCACAGTTCAACTCTGAAATGCAAATATTCTCTTCCATTGATACTAGGAAGTTTTTCTTCCCCCTAACAGTCATTTGTTGAACAAGTCAGAATGGTATGGCTCACATGCCACCCTAAGTTAACAACCAAACACACTGTGGTTTACTGCCACATGCAAAGCAGGTCACTACAGCTGTACTATAGGAAGAAAGATATATTAATGGAAACCATATGCTGAAACCGTATCTGGCACTAACATCTACAAAGTTGCCAAACAATTCACTTCATATAATCACACAATGTTTTTGTTTAATAAACTCATTCAGGAAAAAAAACCTATGGAATGGGAAATACCTTTTAATATACATCATATGTTCTTAGAGTAAGTTGAAAAAGCAGTAACATCTGTTTGCTGGTTTCATACTGTAGAACACAAAAGAAGGAAAAACTAGAAAAAAATCTTTTCTTACAAGTTACTTATGTTTAATGCTTAAAAGTTTGAATGCACAAACAATAACCTACCATTATAGAAGTACTTGTGGTCAATACAATGCATTAGACCTATGTACAATGACACAGTTTAGTATCAAAATCTTTCTACACTGTAGAGTAATTACGAAATGACATCAAACACTGAGCACTTAACACATTATTATTATTAATATTATTATTTGCTACCACATTTGGAACTTCAATGAACAGTCCATTTTAACTTGCAGCATTAACCCATTTCTAGTATGAAATTAAGTAATTTTCTACTTACACAATAAAGGTTTATCTACACAGTTCTTTTGATTTTGATCCATAGCAGCAAAGGCACTGTACATCAGCAGATCCACAGACTTAAAAGGTTTTTTTTTTTTTAAAGCATTCAAAAGGAATATGTCACAGGTCATAGTTTAACAGCAACAACAACAACATAAAAAGATAACACATGGTTTCTGGCACAATGGCTCAGCCTGCGTCCATTTCAGAGACGTTCAACTAAGACTTGGATAGAACTGGTGGTAAAGGAAGCAAGTCCTTCTCTGAGTGAAAAATCCATTTTGTTCTGCACTTCAGAATGAGTGCTTTCCTAAATTCTAACTCTGAGGTCCTCACTTTTATAGTTTGTATTCGTGTCAGAATCCATTCCTTTCTCAGTGCCATCTCCAATGAATGTATCAAATATTTTTTTCTGTAATCTTTAGAACTGCAAAATTGCCCAAAGGCGTGTATCTTTCTTTTCAAAGAAATGTAGCAAAAACATCCAGAAAGAATGAAGATGATCTTTGAGACACATTATTGTACTTCTCTCTGAAATACACAAAATAAAAGTGGTATTAAAAATTCTGACCAATGCACTCTACTTAAACATCTCAAAGTATAGACATTATATACTCCACAGGGGATTGACAAAACACTGTCAAATGGCTGCTTAAAATAACTTGTTAAGAGTATAGTTGGTTTTGGCATGTATTTTCACAATTTCTTGTATTTAGTTTTCCCTTAGAAATATGAACTTACTGAATTTGCTCAAAATATGGAGGCCACAAAAACATGCACGAACCTCAAAACAATATTATTATTTTTTAAGCAGGACTTAAGGACATGCTCATTTGAAACAGAAACTGCTATTATTTGAATTACCAAAATGATTTGTAAAACATCATAAGAATATAGTTAGGATGCTAAGCTACCAGAGAAAACATGAGTGACTGACAACTCAGGCTAAAATAACAAGAAAGTGGTTTTATTAAATAAAACTTGCAGATGAATAGAGGCTATAGTACATGGGTGTCAAACTCGCTGCATAACACTGCCATCACATGATGTTTCATGACATTGTTCCCATTCACAGAGCTGGGGCGGGCGTGGCCTGTGCATGATGCATCTGGCCCTTGGGCTGCCAGTTTGACACCCCTGCTATAGAACATGATAAACTAGGATTCCACTCTCTTCTAATTTTTGATGGATAAATATTTTGCAAGAAAGAGAAAGAGAGAATACAATGTAGTGTAGATTGATCCAATTTATAGATTTGTGGTCCATTATTGCTTGCTTTCAGACATAGACTTCAATTAGAGTTTGGTTAATTGTAAATATGGCAATCTTCCCTGACCTGAGTTTCCTCCAGATGTGTAAACTTCAGGATAAAGCAGTGGCTGGGAATTTGGGAAGTTGAAATTCAACTCAACTGGATAGTGTCCAAGTTGCATAAGACTCTGCTCTGGGAATAAACCTGGCTAAGCCTTGGGTTAACAAGCTTCCCCTTTCGTTTTATTCTCGAGCAACTTCAAGGAGATCAAAAATCATTCTTGATCATTGGCTGTATTGGTTCAGATCCAAAACAGCTGAATAGCTTGAAGTTGAGGAAAGCTAGTTGAGGAGAAATAAACACAACCATGATTTGAAGTATGTTTTTTTATATAAATCCCACTTAATATTAACCAGTTTGTCTCAGTAGACATAACCATCCCTGCTTTATTTATAATGAAAATGAATGCTTTTCATTAGCTCCAATGCACTGCAGAAAAAGCCTGTGGTTTTGGGAAGGTTTATACATGCAACGCTTAATAATAGATTAGTGTTATTTCTGGACAAACCCATAGTCTGGGAGATGGGCCTATCATTACTGACATTTCTGTATCCTTTTCAGATATTATAACCATCCAATAGTGTGATGAGTAATGGATGTTTCATATTTCATATTCCTACAGGCTAATGTGAACTAGGTCATTACCATTTGTAATACTGTATTCTTTTTAAACTACATGACCTAATGAAACTCTTGTCTTAAATAATATTTGCATAACTTATTCAGATATAATTAGCATGCGCGCACACACACACACACATTTGCCCTTTATTCCCAACAGTCACACACAACCCAACAATGTAAAGTCATCAAGAACGCAACGCACCTTCAAATCCAAGGCAGACGCTGACCACTTTGTTTAGTCAGTTCCTTGTTAGAAAGATTTCTTTAACAAAATAAATACATTACAGCTATATTACATAATTAAAAGAGTCAGTTCCCTGTTAAGTATGCTTATTCCATCTTCTTCCAAGTAGATAGCTGAAGATTTGGTTTTATATGTTCTTAATGAGTGAGTGCTTGCTATTAAATAGCAAGTCTAGTGGGAAAATTCCACAACCATGTTGAACATTTTCATCCCTCAGATTGGGAAACAAGAAAAATAAAAGTAATATACAGCAAAGTGCTACTAGAAGGAGTAGGGTTTTCATTCAGATTTGTCTCTAATAAATAACTTCATAGACTGTAGCCTTCTTGTCCCCAGAGCCAGTGACAATGTATTTGTCATCCACAGAGATATCACAGCTAAGTACAGAAGATGACTCTTTGGACTAAAAAAAGAAAAAAAAGTGTGTGTTAACAATTCTCTGCATAAATCAGATGAAATAGTAAATTAGTTCCTTTTAAGAAATAAAACAGTTACAGGATGGTTCAATTATACATTTCTGCTTCCTGTCTGGTATTATTCTCCAGTCTGTGCATCTTCAAACTTAATTGCAGTTAACTCTCCAGGCTTGAGAGAATAATAAGGTTGTACTTGGCATACATGTACCCTTCTCTAGAGATTAAAATCAACAAAACACACTTGTTACACAGTATTATTTTCTTTCTTGCAGCCTTGAAGAGTTTAAATAAAACAGAAGTGACCTAATGTGTATTCATAACCAATTGGGATAACCAGATGTCTAAAAGCAGCCCACAGAGGAGGCAGTTTGTGATAGAAAATGAATGGTTTGGTTTGCTTAAATACAGTTCAAAGCCTACTTTTAGCTGCAGAAAAACTTGGAACCTAGCTTGAATTCAGGCTTAGCAGGGGGAATAATTAGGCCTCAGTGATCCTGTCAGCCAATTGTGGTTTTGCTGCCTGATTGTGGGAAACAGGCCTCAAACCAAATAGAGGCGTGGCATAAGAAAAATGCAAAAGGCAGACCGAGTGGGGTGAAAGGAAGGCTCAAGAAGGCCAGACTCCAGAGTGGCAAAATAAGATCCTTGGGATCAGGAAAACAGATCTTTGGGATCAAGAAAACAGTGGGAAATATGCCCACACATGCTTCCGAGACAAATGATTGAAGTCTCCTTACTTGGTTTCAGAGTATTACTCAAAGCCACCAAAAGCACCTTTAAATTCTCTCTAATGAGTCATATGCCTTTTTTCTCTTTCACTGTTTCTACTGTTTTATTCAATATTGCCCGGATTTCTCCTATTATAGCATTTATCCTTGGGATTATCATACTGTTGTTATTGTGTGTACACACACACACACGTGCCATGCCCACCACAACAAATTCTGATGGCTACAAAGATTCCACTTTGTAATAGGTGCGGAAGAAAAACCACAGTTATTACTCTTTAATAGCAATTTCAGCCATGGGGCTGGAAATGGATTCAGCATAAAATGAAAAGCTTAAAAACAGCAAGGCTTTCAAATGTTATATCATGTTCTCAAAGGATGAATACTGCAACATTGCTGAGAGCAGATTTGGTCAACCAACGTGCTTTGTAAAATCTACCACTGACAGAGTTTATACAGTACGTGCAATTATTATCTGACATAAGCTAAAATCAAACTTAAAACTCATGATATCAGTCCATCCCTGGGATTTGCCCAGAGAATATTCATATGATCTTCCTCCAATTCTCCTTCCCGAACTGCTTTATGCTGGATTGTTAGGTCTACATTGGGAGGTGTCCAACCTTGGCAACTTTAAGTCCTGTGGACTTCAACTCTCAGAATTCTCTAGCTAGCATGGTTGGCTGGGGAATTCTGGGAGTTGAAGTCCACAGGTCTTAAAGTTGACATGGGTCTACATGGTTTGGGGCTGAAGGTTGAGGGACAGTAATGATTTTTACCTGAAATATACTGGCTCCATAAGGTGTTCTCCATGCATTCAGAAGATTATCCTTTCCAGTGCTTACAAACCACTTTCCTGAAAACACATTTTATATAATAATTAGAGGAAATGTATTAATTCTACATCAGCAAAGCTCCACTTCTAATCTCCCTGTCTCCATTTGTGTTTTCTTCTGATCAAAGCAATACCATTGCACCAAACATTCAGTCACACATGCAAAATTAAACAGTATTTCTCCTTTTCTGTATCTACTAGAAATATGTTTAGCAAATAGATGATAAAGGATGATTACTATAAAGGATGATTACTTACCACAATGGGCAAATTTAAGGGATAACACACAACTCTCGTGAAGATGGAGCTGATACTTGTCTGGTTTTGTGACATGCAACACTTCAACATTGCTGTTCTCCATCCCTACTGCCAACCATTCTCCAGTAGGGCAATAGCCCAGTGAAAAGATCTGAAATTATAAATGCACACAGATTATGACTTAGATATCTGGTGACACAATTGTTGTTCTTTGAAAGACAAAAACCAAAATAAAAGAAAAACTGTCGATGGGTTTCTTTCAAAAGATGGTATTATTGCAGTAGATCAAGATAATAAGTTCCTGTAACTAAAACCCAATTCATGCTGGGTGATATATATTAAATTCTATTACTCAGATGGACTGATGCAATATTCTCAAATAAATTATCTTGGAGTAAGTTCTACAGAAAGGATGAGGATTATCTAGAACAGTGATGTCCAACCTTAACAACATTAAGACTTTTGGACTTCAACTCCCAGAATTCCCCAGCCAGCATGACTGGCTTGAGAATTCTGGGAGCTGAAATCCATAATTCTTAAGGTTGCTAAAGTTGGACATCTCTTATCAAGTGGACTCATTCAGTCTGACAGCTTGTGAATAAGAATAACCTCTTGGAAATCAAGAAAGAACGGTTATCTACTCAAATCTACAATGTTAAAAATACTTCTTTTCACGGCCTAATCTATTTAAAAAATCCAGAAAGCAAAACTGAAGAGAACAGTGACTTCCATATGTCATGAGTTCTGTAGAAGAGTACCTGAGATGTGAAGTCATGCTGCTGCAGTTGCCTCCCTTCCCTCAGGTCCCAGGATCTCACAGTATTGTCCAAGCCTCCCGTCCAGAGCTTAGTGCCATCATTAGAAATGTCAATGCAGCTGGCTCCATCTGTGTGGCCCTGGAATTGCCTAAAGATGCCAAGTTGGGGGACAATCACTTTGGAAAACTTTCTTCTGCTAATATTATTGCAAAAGCTTCCATGCTGATTTTAAAGACCTCCCCCAAATAACAGAAAAAACAAAGCAATGATTTCTTAAAGGGGAGAAGGACATCAATAGAATTTTAAAATACTGAAAGCAGCTTTTTGAATTCCTGCACCTATTTGAAGTTGTAAGGCAGTGGTGGTATTCTACTGGTTTGGCCCAGTTCTGGAGTACCGATAATGCTGAAGATCAGCTGGCAGAGAACTGGTTTGCTCCGAGGCTATGCAGTTGGGCCCACCCACCCACTCCTGCTCCTAGGTCCTTTGTAACCCCTCAGCTGTTTGGCACGGCAGAGCGGATTGCTGTGCTAAACAGCTGAGAGGGGCAGTAGCTTAGTTTTTGCTGTTTTAACACGTGCACAAAGAACACGTTTGGCGCATGTGCACAATTGCAGCCACGCCCACCAAGCCACACCCACCAGTGGTGGGAACGTTTGAATCCCAACACAGTTGCAAGGACACTGAAAAGAGTGACTTACAACCAATCCTTGCACTTATGACTGTCCCCAAAGTCACATAATCAAATTTCAGGCGCTTGGAAACTTAGCATGTATTTCCAATGGTTGCCATATCCCAGGGTCATGTGATTCCGCATTTGTAAGCTTCCCAGCTGGCTTCCGATAAGCAAAGTTATGGGGGAAGTCAGATTTGCATCTCAAGCATATGATACACTTAACAATGGCAGTGATTTATTTAACAGCCATGGCAAAAATTGTTAAATTAGGCACGATTCAATAAGTGCCTAGCTTAGCAATGGAATTCTGTTCCCAAATGTGGTCATAAGTAAAGGACTATCTGTATAGATTAAGACTACAAAGGAAAGGACATTTTCAAAAGTATTAATGCACTTTGTGGTTTGATATTTTTAAAGGCTCTTAGAAAGGATATGTGTTTTATTACACAATAAGGTTAACCTGCTACATTAACACATTTTTTAAAAATATCTGGCATAGAGCAGCATAGAAATATCAGCAATAAACAAATTAATAAATAAAGGCTTATATTTGGAGAAGAGTTCTGTATCATAAAAGCCCTCACTTACAGTTTTTAAATGCTAACTGTGTCAGTAAAATAATGCCTCTTACTGAGACATTTTTTTTTCTGAAGAGATCTATGTTTTTCAAAGAATGTTCCAGTTATGATTTTGGGGCAATATAATCAAATAAAGATATTTAACAGCTCAGTATATACCCAGGACCATGTCTTCTATTTCTGCAAGACCTTTTTAAAAGATATTTAAAACCAGTTGTTTATTTAAAAACAAAACAAGATTTTTAAGCATTTTCAACCATTGATAAGACAGGTACATCCTTCCTGCATGAGACCAATTGTTACTTCTACCATTTGTTGCCATCCGTTTTACTCATCATGCCTAGGGCACAACTATCCTTACAGAGCCTCCGTGGAGGCTGCCTAACATTGCCTGGTATTCCAGGATCCTAAAACAGAATGGGCATCTTGCTACTCAAAGGCAACTACACAGAAAGGTTCAAAAGAAGAGGGAGATGGATAGAGTAAGCATTATTTTTCTCTGCTTTCCTTCCACACAGTTGATCCGATAGGCTCTTTGAGCAGGACTTCAAAGTGATTTTAATACAGAATATCCTCCATTTGGTTATGAGCCGATGACATCTCATGTTTTCACAGATAATTATTCTTTAGATTCTGCACAGGCTATTCGTTTTCATTTAGTTTTCCTTTCCACTAGAGATAACTGCAAACCAACATATCTCTGTGAATTCCCAGCCTGGGGCTACTCATACTCTTATCTCTATTTAATTAGGTTTATTACCTGCCCTGCCCTCAGATCTCAGGAGCAAATTAAATTCAGACATAACATTTCTTTTCACCCCCTTCTGCCCCCAGGACTCATAATGAGACAAAGAAGAAACAACAAAGGCAAAGATGAATTTTTTTAAAGCAAGAATAAAAACACAAATGACTGGTATACTAGTGACACTCTTTGGCAGGATTCCAAAATCATATCTACATGGTTATTACCATCTGGAAGCATCTATTTTCTATTGCCATCTAGTTTTTCTTTATCCAGTTACAGAGACACCATTTTATTTTAATCTCCTTACAGTATCTACATTTAATTGACATTCTAGAGGATGCCCTGAGGCACCTCGGAAAATCAACAGACTCCTGCACGAATCAGAAATCTAGCTCTTCACCGCCAGCTGAGAGACAGGCAGGCAGGCAGAAGACAGACACTCAAGCTCAGTTTAAGGTTGAAAGAGCAGCTAATAGTTTCTATTGGGAAAACAGCACTTTGCTGATGTATTTCTTCCCATAATGGAATGAAAAGGTTGCAGGCACACAACATGCCCTGTCACTCTTCCCTGTCTAAAAGATGGAACATCAAAGGTGGGAGAAAGATGTTGAAAGGTAAGGCACATTAAGCAACTGCATAACATGGCAACAGCTCCTTTTACCAATGTTTTTCAATCTGGTTTGATTGACCTACCTGACCAGGGTCTGATTGTGCAGGTCCCATACTGCAATGTTCCCATCGCTACAACAGGAGAAGCACACCTTGGAATCGGGGCTGATTGCTAGTGCATAGCAGGCGGGAGCCGAGGATGTCAACTCTGCTTTTATACGTGGAGTAGGCGCTGCCAGGTCCCAAATGGATAACGTGCTGGCCTCCCCACCAACAATCAGGGTGCGGCCATCGGGGAGCAATCTGCAGGAGCGGATGTAGTTATCTCTGTTCTGTAGACATAGAAAGCACCACCAAGAGATTACTCGGAAGAAAGAAAAGCATAATAAAATGAAGCAGAAATCAATAAAATTACTGTAATTCCCTCTTGGTTTTAATTAGCTTGTGAACAATTTGAATGCAGGGCTAAAAAAATGAATAAATGAAACAATGCTTTGTTTTTCTTTAAGAAACAACCATCATTCTCAGCAAAGAAGATCAGGGTGTGGCCATCGTATTTTATCTTTGTAAAATATGTCCCCACGACTAATAAGTTCAAAAATCTGAATGCCCCAGCAAGGGTGATCTGGTAAATACAGATGGATCTCTTTCACAGAGGTTTCATTCAGCACACATCTACCCGTGTTTCCCTGAAAATAAGACCCTGTCTTATATTTGTTTTTGCCACCAAAAAAGGCACCAGGTCTTTTTTGGGAGGGAGGGGAAAGTTGTCCACTGACTCAGCTCACTTACGCGTGTCACCTCGCGTCGCCTCTGGCCTCTTTTTCACGATCAGAGCCCTTTAGCAACTTCTTCGTCCAGCAAGACCAGCAAGGCTTTCCTGAAGGCCTCTGAAGCTGATAACAGAGTTTCGGATTGATCCGGAGCTCTGTTATCATTTACAGAGGCCTTCAAGAAAGGCTTGCCAGCTGTAGCAAAAGAAATGGGCTGAGGTGTGCGAGGCCTGGCTGCCACTGTCTGAAGGTAACTAGAAGGGCAGCTCCAACTCTCCCATCCCAACTAGCTTAATTTTTACATGTGCACCCTGGAGTGGGCAGGGTCTTAATTAGGGCTTATTCTGGGAGTAGGACTTATATTGGGCACACATACAAAAATCAAGTCAGGATTTACTTTCTGAGCTTAATAATTCTTGCCCATTTATATCTACACATTACATATCACAGCCACTGAATTATTTACACATGCCACAGTTATCCTTCTAAGGATATCGTTCCCCATTAAAGATTTCTTGTTATTTTTACTCACCAAACAATCTAGCTGAGAGACAGGACTTTTGTTTCCTGGATGACTGATATCCCAGACTTTGACACACCCTTTTCCACCAGTGTACACGTGCCTTGTTGGGTTGCTAATAGTAACTGCACATACCACTTCCCCGTGGTTTAGGGTGTTAATCTGCCGAGCATGACGTGGAATTCCTGGCCCAATGAGGGCATCAGGAGGGAAAGGTACGGGTTGCATCTGACCATCAGCACTTACATGAAATGAGTATGCTCTAGGTTAAGCAGAGAGAAATCCTGTTTTAATTACTCATCTACTGACCAATGAAAACTTTCTAAAGAGGGTTAACGCTAATACACAGTTTGTAAAATACATAATGTTATGCTGTTATATTTTAGGCTGTTGCTGAATGGAAAAGATATTTTTATTTTGACTGGAACAAAAGGCAGGTTGGGGCATTCTGAACTGTCAGAAGAATAGTATTTTTTTTTTATCAGAAGTACGACATTGTCTGACTGGCAGTTATGTCACCTGGAAATAATTTATCAACAAGTTTCTACAAATGTTCTTCAGGGAGAGAGCATTCCAGTGTTTAAAATTCCTGTGCTTAAGGTATCATGTCTTGAAGTTCTCAAATAAAATTTTATTAAAGTTGATCTAGAGCCATGATGGTAAACCTGTGGCACGTAAAGCCATTTGTGCGGGCACGCGAGCCCCAGACAAACTTACCTGCACTGCATATGAGCGCACCTCCCAGCTGATTTTTGGCCCATTTGAGGCCTTTTTCAGCCTCCCAGAGGTTCAAAGGAAGCCTTTCTGGAAATACTGGAAATGACGAAATGGGCCGATTTTTCAGCCTCCAAAGGCTGCAGAGGCTTCCCATGAGCCTCTGGGAGGCTGAAAAAGGCCTCAAATGGGTTGAAAATCAGCTGGGAGGTGCACATATGGGCAGTGCAGGTAAAGGGGCGGCAGGAGGGATCATGCATGCATGCACAGGGAACATGGGGGGCGCATTGCCTTCTGGGTGCTGGCACAGGAGCCCAAAAAAGTTAGTCACCACTGATCTAGAGCATATTGCAAGGAAATGTATAGTTAATAGATACTGTATAATGTCTACATGGAAATCTAATTTAGGATAGCGAAGACAGTTCACAAATTTCTTCCTTGAAACAAAAACCTGTTTCCTTTTTTACAGTTAAAAAAAAAGTAAACTTGATTAAAATATGTCAAAGAAATGGTACTTAATGCTATGTAGAAATTATGGGTTAAACCTTCTATCAATTCCAACCATTGCTCATATTGGATGGAGATAATATCAACTGCCGTCCAAAACAGCTGGAGGGTTTTATATTGCCTGTTCTTTATTTTCAGATAAATAAATACTATCATATAGTCTGCTTAGTGGTTGAAAACGTAATCACATTACAGAAAAATATCTGAAAGGACTTAAGCTACAAAGGCAAGAATATGAGGAGATTAAACTATTCACCCATGGCTGCCAAACTTCTACTTATAAAGGATCTAAGTTGTAAGTTACCAACTGAACATGGTAATTCTAATATTTCATGAATGGTATCATTCAGGATAGGTCAACTAAATATATTTTCTATATATAGATCTTTTCTATATACAATCAACCCACACCCATTATATAACTGGGCAAGTCATTCTCCTTAGTCTTATGGGATTTTATTTAAGTTGCTGCTTGTTTTCACAGGAAGAGCTCAAATAATTATCCTGGATTTGTTGTGTACTTTTCTCTTGCTGAGAAGTAAAGTAGGGGAAAACGCTGTACCTTATTTCTATAATTGTTTCTCTTAATGCCAAGCTAGTTACAGTAGGTCAGCAGCATTTTTAGTCAATTTCTTCAAAGATCCATTTGTGCATTATGATATCATAATTCTTTTTCGGTATTTTCAATCAAACAGAACACTCCAGTGTTCTTTTGTGCAACGTCGTTGTTTATAGAATCCAGTGAGTCGGCATTTAATCGCAGGGCTTCTTTTTTGTGCACAAAGGAATTATTTTTAAAACAGAGGGGCAGAACCCTAAAGACATGCACACCACAGAGTCTTTTGTAATTTGTCTTTCTGGTGCCAAGCAGACTTACCTTAGTCCAGCATGCCCCATTGCAGAAACATAACCCCTTCCCTATGCCCTTCTTTTATCCACGGCATCTGATACCCTTGGCATATAGTCTTCTACAGGAAAAACTGCCAAATAGGCTTTTAAGATTAAAAGGAGGATTAACCACCCTCTGCCACACATGGAATTCAGTATCGAGAGGAAGCAAAGGGAACAAAAGCTTAATAATATGATTGACTTAGTGTGTTTAACACTCACGGTTTTCCTCCTGGGATGCCTGTCAGATTCGGAGGAATGCCTGGGACTCGCATATGATGATGTGGATCAAAACCAACCTGGAGTTTTCCCACAAACAGAACAAAGGAAGTTTTAAGCATTAATGGGAAATGCTGGAACGCTGCTTTTCAGTTTTACATCAAACGTTACTATGGAGAGCCTTCTATAGAGATTAAAAACCATACTGGACTATGCCAAGGTCCACAATTCAACATCCTGTTTCTAAAACCAGCCACTCATTTGCTTCAAAGAGACTTTCTACCTCATCAAATAATATTCAGAGACATAATGCCTCTGAAGATAGTGGCAAGGAAATCCTTTAAAGCAGTGGCCCCCAACCTTTTTCGAACCAGGGACCGGTTTCATGATTATTTATTCTTCCACGGACCAGTACCTGAGTAACGTGAGACTCCACCGCCATCGGGACAGCTCTTTGTTAGAAGCCGCCCCCCCTTTGACGAAACTTAAGGCGCGAGCACCCAAACGCCGCTTTCCAACTGAAAAACTGGAAGCACTTTCCAACCAAAAACCCGGAAGCAACCGAAAACCCAGAAGCGCTGTCGAAACAAGATGGCGGCGCCCAAGCTTTGCAGCCTGGTAAAAAATGATCCACGGACCAGTACCGGTCCGGGGACCCCTGCTTTAAAGCATCCAATTATCAGGAAAAAGGTAAACAGAAGTAGAAAACAGCCCTGGGAAGTTTAACTGAAATTCAAAATTCTATCAGTTCGATAGACGCCTGGGAAAATAAAAATGGAACAGTATTTATCTGGCGCCTGGAAAACTTAATGCACCAAGTGAGTCTCTGATGGGAAATGTCGCAAGTGGGAAGAAGGTCCTGTGTCAGCTGGGAAGGTTGCAAATGGAGATCTCATGACTGTGGGAGGTTGCAACCCTTGTAAAGACATGCCAATTGCCAAGCATACGAATTTTGATCATATGACCATGGAGATGTTGCAGTGGTCATAAGTGTGAGGTCCCATCATAGGTGACTATTTTCAGTGCCGTTGTAACTTTGAACAGTTGCTAAATGAATGGTTGTAAATTGAGAACGGCCTGTATTCAAAACTTCCATAAGCTGGACAAAGAATGCAATGCCCATCTCCCCCCCCACTCATTTTAATCAATCCCTAAATGAGCACAAAAACTGACGAAGTGGAAACTCATGAAATCACAACGTATTGCTGGCAGAGAAAGCTAGACAAATACTTCTCAACTGCAGTCATTGAAATTAAGTCATTATAATGACTAGAGTGCTGCACTGTCTCTAACATAAAAAATACAAACGGCAACCATTATCTTAAATAATGCCAAATAAACAAGGGTGGGCTGCTGTGGGTTCACAGGGGTCCAGGAGAGCCCCAAGCTAAGATTCTGTGCAGTTCGGAGAACCCTCAGAACCCACCCCTCCCCTCCCAGGAGCCCCATGTGGCCCATTTTGGATGCAGGTAAGTGCAGGGCGGGCCTCCCAGAAGTTCGGGAAATGGGTCCATTTTAGGGTTTCAGAGAGAGCCTGCAGAGCCTGGGGAGGGCAAAAAGCCGCCCCGCCCCCCCGCCATGGTGTAGACCAGGGGTCTCCAACCTTGGCAACTTTAAGACTTGTGGACTTCAACTCCCAGAATTCCTCAGCCAGCTGGCTGAGGAATTCTGGGAGTTGAAGTCCACAAGTCTTAAAGTTGCCAAGGTTGGAGACCCCTGGTGTAGACCAACTAGGTCATGCCCACCATGGCCACGCCCACTAAGCAACCGGACAGAGAACCCTTTGCTAAAGTTTTTGAAGCCCAGTCCTGCAACTAAGTCCCACTCTCCAAGGAAAGCTTCAAATTTTCTCAAGCAAATGATTACCACAGAAGTCTGATTCATATCTTATAAGCCACCATCTTATTGAAAGCCAGCTCCTCTCAGCATAATCACCGTTTACTATCATATAATATGCAAGGAACGTACCACTGGAGATCTTCCATAGGCGGCGGCTGCAGCAGCAGCTGCGGCTGCTGCGCTCATCTGAGGAGAGATATTATGCAAACCCGCGTATGCGGCTCCAGGACTGGTCAGTTCACCATTCATTCCAGCATGGGGTACTATTCCAAATGGGGCAGGATAAGGGCATGGGACTGCCATGGGGGTTCTTAATCCTGAAGCTACAGAAGGTAAGAAATGGGAGAAAAGGAAAGGATATTTACAAATCATATCATAAGAAAATGCTGGACTGAGAAAAGGGAAATTCAGGCCGGTAAGAGAAGAAAAACAAGCTGTACACATTACAAGGATTCTGTATTGGATTATCTCAGTTTTTAGAGGGCTATAATAGAGTGTCCTAATTCCTTTGCAAATTTACTCAAAGAGATTCTTCCTAAGTTCTGCATGACTGAAGAGATCCCAAATAAAATGGAAGGGATTGGACCTAGGATCATGGTACTGGAAGAAGCTATTTAAAGTTCAGTGGAAGAATACAAATTAAGAAATCCTTGCCTTGTGGCTATCTAGTCTTCTACCTATGCAGAAGAATGAAGTTCACACCCCTTAGTCAACTGTTTCCCCTATTGAATTGCTTTTTCTGTTAAAAAGTATTACCTCAATTGATATCTGTCTTCTTGTAACTAAAAACTATTAATTTCATCATCAATCAGACTTGGTGCTATTTAATGTACATTCTTTTAGGAATCAAAAGAATGCTAACATATTCCTGCTTGGTCTTTTCAAAACTGAAAATACTCATTTGCTCCCTTTCTCATTAAGTGACTTAATTTCCAGGCTTTTGATCATTTTTCTTACTCTTCTTTAAACTTTGTTTGAATCCTTTTTTAAGCTGAGGTGTCCCAAATCCCTATCAATCCAATGACTACTGCGGAGTGGGACACATTTTCTTGGCACAGAAAAAAGAGATGGTTTTTTCATTATCTGTTAGTATTTTAACATTGAGTAGTTGGTACACTGAATCTTTTCTCTTTTTTATTTTCAAAATAAATTGACTCCCCCCGCCCCCCCAATTTTTAAACACGTCTTTTGTAGTTCTTAACAACCTACACTAATCTCAACACACATTCTCAGTAGTCCTTCTGACACCTTTGAGCTCTGGGGTGCCTAGTATTTTCTTGGGGTATAGTTTGTTTTGTTTTATTTTCAGATAGCGCACCCTAAAATAATGCAGCTAGACTGACTCCGATTGTTTCGCTTAGATTTTTTTTAAATTTAACATATAGATTCTTTTTAAGGACTTTCATCCATCCTATTGGCTTTCTTCCCTGAAATCATACATATAGCTCACAATACTGGAGATTATCCTTCCAGATAGCAAGCAGAAAGTTCTGCTTCATGGTGTTAAAAATGCCATATTCATAAACAAAATAATTTTTTCCTGTTGACTCAAAGGTGTTTTTTTTTTTCCAAAAGGCAATTAGACTATTTTTTTTAATTTGAGGAAGAAGACATTTGGCTTCTTATCCAAGAAGTTTCATCAGTTTTGTAAGAAGCAAAATGTCTTCTTTGTCAAATAAAAAACAGCCCAGTTTCCTTTTGAAAAAAAAAAAAAGCAACTTTGAGACAACAATGACCTGGATGACTGAGAATATCCACAGACATTTCTTATGTTGAGTGTAGATAGCAAATTGTTTTTTAGGCAGAGTTATTCAGGCCTATTCTTTCTCCCATAATGTAGAGTAGAGACTAATCCTGTTTTTGAACAAGTTTGTAAGAAATATCCTGTCTAGGTGTATTTCGCTCTTTTCCAATCAGATTCCCTCTAGATGTGTTGCATTGCTGCTCATATAATCTCCAATCATAATGGTAGTTAGCTGTACTGATTACAGAAATTGTAGATCAGCCCATTTGGACAATGTCAGTCCAGAAAAACCAGGTGAGACTTGCCCAAAATGAGGTAGCAAATCTAAGGAAGGTATAAGATCTGACTCTAGATCTACATTCAATACTCTACAGCTGTGTGCATGTAACAAGCAGCATATATTTGACAGACAAATCTACCCTTTCCCCTCTCCAATTACATGTACTAACCTAATGGATCAACTCCTGGTGGCTTTCCAGGGACAGGCCTTAATCCAGGTGTAGAATTACTTCCGGGGGTTGGAGCATCAGTACGTGGAGTTGGTGTATTTGATTTAGATACAGGGGTGGTGGATTTCTCATTCTGATATGGAGAGAAGCAGATTTTATGCAAAAAATCATTGGTGCACTTCTTAGTAGACATTGAAACAAGGAACACATGTATGGTGGGGTATTACTTTAGGTACTGTAATGAATATCAAACCATTGCATTATTTGAATCAAAGAATTTTGATATTTTATACATTTCCTTGCCATTCCCCATCCTCTAATAAACAACAGAACAAACAGAACAAGATGCAGAATATTAAATTATCCAATAGCAGTCCAACTTGCAATTGCTTGTGCTAACAATAGACTTCAAGCAAATTGCACGATAGAAGCTGAGATAGTATTGAGAAATAGCAGTGGTTGTTTGAATCTAAATCTGCAAAATATTAATGGCACACTATGCTCATGAGAATTCACCCTTATTTACCATAACATGTAATAGGAAACTAATAATATTCAGGCATTCACTTTTTCTAAATACTCAGAATGTGAAAAATCCCTTTACCTAATTTATAAACTAGAATATGCTATTATAACCATATAACATAACCAAAGAAGCAATACCTTTAAAAATCCTGCATTAGATTACCTCAATTATTTAGATTGTCATAATTCCTTTGCATATTTGCTTTGCAGATTATGCATATTTACCTAGAGCCTATCTATGTACAACTGAATAAAATGAGACATAGAATCACAGAATTGGAGGAGGCCCTTTTAAGCTCCATGTAGCAGTTAAATGAAAGCATCTTTGCTGGATGGGATATCCAAACTCTGCTTGAAATTGTGTAGCAGGAAGAAGTATAACCATTTTCCTAATTAAATACTATGTTTATAATCAACTCTTTATAGTATGAGAATTTTTTCGTTATATTAAATTGGAATCCATTTTCTGTTTTGAATTTGTAAGAAAAAATGGTGTAATCTTAGAAAAAAATTAAGGATTTTAATGAGTTGCCTATCCTATTTATTTCCTGAGATTTTAACAGTGTTGCTTATCTCCTGGTTGAGACCACCAGCCTAATATTGACTCCTCTTTTAGGGGGTGCCAGGGGGATTACTGGTAACTGCCTGAATAAGTCCCTGCAGTTTTCTTGGCAAGATTTTTTTTTGGAAGTAGTTTACCATTATTTCCTTCCTAGGGCTGAGAAAGAATGCATGGCCCACAGTCACCCAAACTGGCTTTGTGCCTAGCGCAGGATTAGATCTTACATTTTTCCTATTTCTAACCTGGTATCTTAACCTCTATACCAAACCAGCTCTCTTCTATTATTAACCAATTATTCAAGGCAAATTTGAAAATGCTGGAATACCAGAATTCATGTAACAAACATTATTTGAAGTACATGCCAGAAGATGACAACAGCAAGACATTTCCGCATAATTACAGAAAAACAGGGAGGTATCCATGTGTTATTAAGTGTTAAATGTGACTTGGAGATGTTTCCTTAATAATTTAGCATGTCACAATTAAAAAAAAAGTCAACTGCTTCCTGAAATTTGTCTTTGACCCTCCTTAGAGTGTGTGATAATTTTGTGACATCAAAATTGCATGTGGCCTTCCAAAGACTTTTAAAAACTGCCACCAAAAGACTTTCAAAACTGCCATTAAATTGCACACCTCAGTCTTAAATATTCATGTGAAAATCCCAGGTGAAGAGGCTAGTTGTGAAGAAATTGTGGCAGATCAAGATCCTAGAAAAAACGACTAGTCTCTCTCATGCAAGTTCATATACGCACACAGAATATCAATTGAAGGAAGTCAGTAGTGTTCTGGGTTTGCAATTCAGCCTTTCTCTGAATTGTGACTTGAGCAAGAAAAGAAAGGCTATTGTAAATGACATATTATTTCTTAGGCAGAATATGACTGTAGCTGAATATAGCCAAGTAACACAAATGAAGCCAAGAACCAAATCACAACCAAGCAGGAAGCTTAAAATTACTGTAAATTGTCATACCAAAATAAAATAAGGTTCAAAGAACCCCTGTGTCCTCTTATTTATTCACAGAATAGCAAGCTTCCTGACAGGAAAAAAGTACAATAAAAGATAGATACATTATTTTCAGACCTGGCAAGCTGAATAAATACTTTCTATCACTCCAAAAGATCCTGAGGTGCAAAATATATATTTTTGGTAGAAATATATTGAACTTAGTGTTATATTATGATGTACTACTGCGACACATCTCATTATCTTCTACCTTAAGTTAGATACCCAACGGTGCACACACAGTTATGAAGATGAATGTCGATTGTACAGTCACTTACAAGGCTAAGTTCTTTGGATTTGGAAGAAGGAGTGCTGCTTGAAGATGCTATTGAGGCTGGGCTAATTGGCGCATCTTTCTTGAGTAGGCGAGCCTTGTCCAAGCCGTTCTCCCTTGGAGAATGTGCTGGGCTTCCTCGTGGAGATGATGGATCCTAAAAAAGAAGTATGATTATTATCAAGGTCTCCTGTTTGTTCCAGTGAATAACATATGGCTCCCTTGTGACTCCATCCCATAGTGAAGTTCATGAATGGTATACTATATTCCCCTGCCTGCATAAATCATTATTCACAAAGAAATCATACTTCCATCTCAAGATATGGATGATACCTTTTTACTACAGCAAAGCAAAACTATTTTTATGTTTTATTTATTATACTGATTCACCACCCATCTCAGCACGAGGCAAGTCTGGCTGGCTTACAAAGTTAAAAGCAGTAGACCATACAAATATATATAGCAATAAAAGTTTAAGTAATGGTAAAAAGATGGGAAGGGATGGAACAAGGTGTTTGGGTGAAGTAGGATCTGCTATTAGTCTATCAGCCAACTGCAGCGTAGGACTCCCCCATTTTCTAAGCATACTCAATGTTACCTGAGGAATACATGCAATAAATTATGTCTCCCAAAGCAAAATTGTACATACCTCATTGGATACATCAACCACCAAGTTATCATCACTTTTTTCACCATCACTATCCTGCATTGAAGAAGAAAACAGTTAAGCACCCAAAAACACTTGCTTCTCAAAGCTATACTTTTCATTTAAATATGAAGAGCTCTAGAAATGCAATGTAAAATGGGTAACAACATCAGTTAGGACTTTTTAAAACTCATGTATGTATTAAATACAGCTGCCCTCGGACTGTAAATACAATAAGCCACAGTTATATTTTTAAATACACGGTTAGTAGATCATTGCTTCTGGAGTAATACAGACTAGAGCAGCAGTCACCGACCGGTGGGCCTCGGCCCACTGGTGGGCCATGAGATAATTTTGATGGGCCGCAGAGAAATCTCACCCCCAGAGCACCACCACCCCAAAGCAATTAATCCAGGCTGCACAGAAACACAAGGCTGCTCAGCCCACATGGCCCGCAGGGAACCCTCCCCGCCCACTCGCTCCTTACCTGGCAAACTTGTCTGTTAAGTTGCTATTTTTCCTTTTTCCAACCATCATCTGTTCTGCTGTGCTGGGAGATTTAGATTAGCTAGGAAGCAGGAAATGATTGGATTTCCTGCTTTCTAGCTAAGCACAGCCGAACCTCCCTTAGGATTGAAGGTTTGCTTGCAAGCAAATTCAGTGCAGACTCAGGGCAACCAAATTTGAGAGACTGAGCTAGGCGATGACAGATAGATTGATCACTGAATGATTCTGTGAGCAACTCAATCTGCCTGCCTGCTTTGCCTGATTTTTGGTAAAAGTTGCTCTTTTACCCCAAAATTTCAATATTTACATGCATGGTGTGTTGTGAGTTAATTTTATGAGTTTGCTTGCAAGCAAATTTTATGTGACAGACTGAGCTAGCTGATGGCAAATAGATAGATTTCTGAATGAATCTGTGATTCTGTGAGCAACTCAATCTGCCTGCCTGCTTTGCCTGATTTTGGGTAAAAGTTGCTCTTTTTTATAAAAAAATCAATATTTATATAAATATTTATAATATTTACATACAAGCCATGCCCAGCCAGTCACATGACCACCAAGCCACACCCACAAATTAGGCCATGCCCACAGAACCGGTTAGTGGTTCCTGGGATCTAAAATTATGAGTTTGGTGGTCCCTGAGGTCCAAAAGGTTGGCGACCCCTGGACTAGAGGATGAATCAAAATTTGGCTAAGCTTATAAAAAAGGAGCTTGGGAAAACCAATCTCATCAGATTTCTCATCAGGAATTTTAAGCTGGCAATGAATATCCTTCCCTTTAATAATTTAGCATGTTATGTTTTTGGAAGTTTGCAAATGGATGTTGCAAATGCATCTAAACAAATAGCTGAGTAAAGAACAGGAATCAGCCAGTGCTTATATTATAACAAAAGATTTACTTTTTATGACAGACATTAAGGTGTTGGTATTGGCTAAACACTTCAAAAACTGATTATCTGACAAATCACCTCTCCCACTGCAACCTTCTCTGAATGTTAAAAGACTCTTTTGGAAAAAAAGCTTGTCTATCTGGTGTGTGGGAGAAGACTTCCTACTGCATCACTCCTAGGTTATAGAACAATTTTCGTGAAAAATGCATTTGGCATTTTAAAAAAAACTGATAAAAATTAACCTCAACATTTATAAAATCAGTAAATACACATTTCTTTTAGCCTATTAATTATTGGTTACTTTTAGTATCATTTTTTAAAATTAACTTCTCCCTTAAACAGTAAGGTAGAATATAAATTTAAGATGTATAAAAGAAACACAACAGCTTTAGGAAAGTTTGCATATTTGTCAAAGAGAGTACCAAAGAGAGATGGTGCCATTTCCATTTTGGCATGTTTTTCAACATGGAAAGCCAAGCTTGTTATATTTTCTTTTTCCTGACCTAAGTTCAGGAAAAGGGTTTTTGGAGACAAAAGGCAAGGTCCTCTTTGAGCCTGTATAGAACAGCCAAAAACTCTTTGTGGTTAAATTATCGGCAGTATAAAATAACAAATAATAGGGAAAAATAAACTGTACATGGTTTCACTCACATAACGAGTTGCTATCTCTTTTTCTTCTGTCTTCTGCTTTTTACTTTCAGAAGAGTAATCTGTTGAGTTTCTGTGCTTCTCAGAGGCTCTAAAACTTGCTGATGGAGATACAGATGAGCTCTAAAATGAGAGGGAAGAGAAGGAAAGATAACTGATGGCAAAATCTACCAGTTTTGCTTATATCACACTCTGAGGAGAGGACAAAAGCTATGCCAGCATGGACAGAGCCATCTACACATTTCTAAAATAAGCAGATACAAATGATCTCTCCATGAACTGCTCCTGGATCGACACAGCAGCAACCAAAATGCTAGTCTACCACTTCAGAATCAGGTTGCAGTTACAAACAGAACCATCTTTTATTGAAAAGGAATATGCTGGTGTGCTTACATTACTTGAAAAGTAGATCTGCAACACAACATGGCAAAGTGGAACCATTTTTTTGTGAACAGATCTCTGAAAGGAAACATTTCCAGATTATCTTTGCGATAAGCTAGCAGAACGGTTTCCCCAAAGGATGTAATTCCTAATAGGTACTGTAGTTTTCTGGTGTCAGTGGAAAAAACGGTGCCAGTTACTTTTCAATTAGCCACTTTTCAGTTTGTCACATGAAAGATAACACTGGGATTCCTCTACCCCAGCAGATCCATTTGCTGGTGCAGGGTGTGTGTGTGTGTGTGTGTGTGTGTGTGTGTGTGTTTCAGGCTTCAATACAAAATCTGGGAGAAAACAGTATTTCCTGTGATGTTTAAATGCTGCACAAAAATTAGTGCCACAATACACACACACACACACATACACAAAATACCCCACCCCGTCAAAACCCCAGACTCTGTAATCCTTACAGACCAACAAATGCACACATGCACACACAGAAACTATGCAGCAAACTGTATTATAATAATACCATACTAGCAGTAGTATATTTTCTAAGACACAGGACAGGTATGAAGGAGATAAAGAAAGAACTGGAATTCTTATTTGTTAAAAAAGGATCAGTTCTACTACGACTTAGATACCTGAAAAACAAATAATCTGAGATTCACTGGGATGCAAAATGCCATTTCAGATCCTTCATTCAGTCGAATGGAATAAAAATCAAAGGCAGATAATCACCAGACAGGTGACTATCTACCTTTTCCATGACCCTCTAGTGAAGGAGTGCAGCCGTCCTCTCTAAACAAATTCATTTCATGGTGAAACTATTCCTTCTTCTAACTTAATTGCATTATTCTGCACTTCATAAAACAGAGAACACTATGTGATAGACCTTTTCCAATGTAGAAATACAAAACAATCTGTTTGAATCAGCCAAGGTGTTTGCCTGGCTTGTGGTGTGGAGATTTTGTGGAAGCCAATGGCTTCCACAAAAGCAAAATCACTGGCTTGATCCACAAAAACACACTGAGACATAATGGAGACCTAGAAGATGAACAGACCTATGGAACAGCTGTCCTGCCCTACATAAGAGGTACTACAGACAAAATCAGTAAGATACTACACAGGCTGCATCAAGACCACCTTCAAAACAGACAGAAAAATAGCAGCCATCCTAAGAAACCCCAAAGATAAAATTGATCTGGAAAACCAAGGCATATATGAAATCCCCTGCGCATCATGCCCTGCCACATACATTGGACAGACCAATAGAAGAATAATTACCTGTCTAGATGAACACAAAAATGCAGTAAAAAAGCTGGAACACACTTCCTCACTAGTCCAACACATGAAAGCAACAGATCATAGCACTGACTTCAATGGCACCAAAACCCTAGCCACAATAGAAAACCCCAGCTACAGAATTATCAGAGAAGCCATAGAGATTGAAAAAAGACCTGAAAGCATGAATAGAAGAGATGACTCCACCAGACTGTCAATTATTTGGAAGCCTGCACTCACAAACGAAAAAATCTCCACACCACAAGCCAGGCAAACACCTGGGCACAAGAAGACCCCCCCCCGATACCTCCAGCTCAAACACACCCCAACCAGGCACGCAGATGAAACCTAGCTTCCTAAGAAATGATAGCTGTCCGTTTACTTGGAGCCAAGCTGCACTAAAAGCCTCCAATACAGGAAACACAATGCTGCCAGCCAATCAAGAAAAAAAAAAAAGCTACAAAACAGACAGAAGATATTTGAAACACCAATCAAGCAGAACACAGCAAACTCCAAGACCAATAAACACAGACCAAGACTCCCAACCAATCAGGGTGAAGAAAAAAAAACATTCTGGCACAGCAGTAGGCTAGCCCCAAATTTAAAACAGAAACGGCTCTCAAAGTCTGACTCACAAACACAATACAGAAACCTGATGATGGCAGATGAGATTCTGCCGAAACGTTGCTACAACTTTAAAAGCACAACTATAATGATGTGGGAAAATACCCGAACAAAGCTGAATACCATACATATAAATACCCACAAAAACTTAAGAAAATATATCTATCTATATCTATATCTATATCTATATCTATCTATCTATCTATCTATCTATCTATCTATCTATCTATCTATCTATCCTATGATTCATGTTTTTTTAGCATTAGTTGACAGAAGTGATTTCCAAGTGGTCTGGTACTATGCTGCACCAGTAATATATGTAAATAAAAACATAGATTGAATCATAAAAATTACATTAGAAATGTACAATTTTGGCATACTTCTTAATAAGTATGATTTAACTATATTACATTTTCCATTCCTAGATAATAGCTTTATTTCCCCTATCCTTGTTATCTCTTAATATTATATTGAGAGTGTTTGATTTCAGAAGGGATCAATAGAAAGATGTTTTAAGCTTCCTTTATCTATAAGAAGAAACATTTAGAAGAAGCAGGGCCAGTTCCCTCCATCCCGGTGCTATTAAAATCTGTAGCTTTTTTACACATCTTTATGCAAATTGTCTTATGCATATCTTAAAAATACCCTTGCTCCATTTATATTCATTGTACAAATGGAGAGAAGACAGATTATAATTTGAATTCAATTCACTATGACTCATCTCTCTTTTTCCCTTTGTAATTGGCTGCAATAAAGGAGAAAACTAATTACTGAATGACAATTAGAATGATGGTTTAAGAGCCAAGAGTAAACTACCACTCTAATTTCAACCCAAGTATTTATTTTCATAAATTTGAAACAACATAGATATATTTTTCTCAATCTAGTTAGCTTCAGTGCTACAAAGAGTGTTGTGATCTCTGATTGTGGTGCTTAATAAAATTATAATTTAGAACACCCTACTAGTGTGATAAAGTAGCTAATTATGATTAGCTGTTTAAAGGATGAGCTGCACACTGTGCCGATCTATGCTGCTCAGTAGCTTAACAATTTGGAACATGTGTAGACAAATATGTATTGGCAAAGAGTGCTCTTGTTATGGTACCTGAAGCCTGACCTTGATATTGGAGTATAATAAGCAGAGAGAGGCAGTTCTGAGAAAAACAAAATCATTTTAAAATGAGCATATTAGCTTTCTGATGAGTTCAGAAAGCCAGGCTGGGAGTGTCTAAGAGAAGATTGCGTGCATTTGAATTTTGACAGAAGTATGACAATTATATCATTACCAATTTTTTTTTTTTGTTTCTAAGAAATGGCATACAAATAGGTGTGACTGTAGAAGAGCTGTGAGTGTGATGACCTGGGACGTGGTACAAAGGCAACACAATCAGATAATCAGTAAGAGTCCCTTTATTAGCTCCAACTTTGTCCCTGATGTCCTGGTTACCTTCTGGCTGGAGAAAAACTCTCCTAGGAACAGCCTTTGGCTGCAGAGAACCAAGCCCAAAACGCGGTCAACAAAAACTGTAACTATACGTCCAATCAAGGCAAAATAAAGTAATTTGTCTGACAAGGCAGGAGCAAGAATACTAGACGTGAATGCACAGCAATAACTCCACAAGATTGGGAAGACGTCAGGAACACAGATAACCAAAGTCAACACAAGATAAACTCACATTTGCTCCCAGAAGCTGCCGCACTCAGCATGCATCTCCTTTAAAGTCTCTTCCCAGCTGTGGCTAATGAAGGGAATTAGGGCCCTTCCCTCCCCCATAAGCCATGCAACCCACGTTGCTCTCTTCTTCATTCCTCCCTGCATGCCCTAGGATGAAGAGGGGGTGGGCCTGGGTCTTCCTCTGAACTCCCTCTCCCTTGTTCTATCTCTCCCCTCTCTGCCCAGCTGGCCTTTGCCCTTCCCCAGTTTTCTCCACAGCCAACAGAGCCACACTTACACTCCCTGTTAGCTGTTTGTCTTCCTCCTCGGATTCAGACTCTGACGGGGGCATGACAGGGTGGGAAGGAAGGTGGAGTAAAATGCATCATCAGTTTAGAGCAGAAGTTTCCAAATTTGGCAACTTTAAGACTTGTGGACTTCAACTCCTAGGATTCGTCAGCCAGTCAAGTCTTAAAATTTCCAATTTTAGAGTCCTTGCATTGCCAGAAGAGATCCATGTCCACCCCCCTTGAATTCCCTTGATCTTTATCTAGCATCAATTTAGTAATGATCAGTTTAGCAGATTCTTGTGTATAGGCTTCAATAAGTCATTTATGCTGCAAATTACTGATTTCTTATAGTGTGCTGGAATTTCGGCAAATGCATGTGTTTTCCAATTTAAAAAAGATTTTTTAAATTAATTAGAGTTTGACTATTGAGGATATAGTATGACATGCACACAGTATTACTTACTTCTACCTGCAACATAACTTTTTACTTCATAGGCTAAGCTTAAACATGCTGAGAAGTTTCCACATTCCTTTAATTATCGCAGTATGATTAATTAAATGCACTGCCATGTCCAGAACTGTTTCCTGTTGTTTGAAAACACAGAAATATTCCTGTATCATTATTTTAAGATGCTTTCTATATGCTGCTGGTGGGAAATGAATTAATTACTAAAATAATTGAATTAGCAAAGATCATATAATATGCTGCTAGTAGACTTATGGTTTAAATACAAATCCCATTTTTTCCCTATTTTTATTTTTCACCTTTCCTTTGAAGACGCACCCATAGCATCTCCCTAATTTTGTTTTCATATCAAACTTGCAATTAAGTCTAGGAAAGGCAATAGGACTTTTGCAATTAGGTCTGGCAAAGGCAATCAGACAAAACAATT